ATAGAGACTGGCCATGTATCACCACGTATCTTTCAGAAAATTGACGTGAAGTCTTAACTGATGCCCTAATTTGGTAGCAGTACAAGAACTGAAACATCGTTCAAAGTTCACTCAGCAAACCCAATTCTGTTTCTCCCTTACTAAAGGGCCTCCTACCATTATCCTGTAGAGGGGATCAGTTAAGACAAGCTTCTGTTTGAACTCAGAGAGGTGCAAAACCCTTTGGCTTTTGTAAGAACAAAAAATATTTTAACTTGGAGTACAAGAATGAATGTCAGTGAGTTGCCATCTGATGGTGATGTAATATCTGTTAATATAGATTTACTACCAAATCTGGAAGAAAAAAAAAAAAAAAAAAAAAAAAAAAGGATAAATCTGTAGCATTTTGTTGATAATTGTATTGTTAGGATATGTGTATTAATAAACTTCTCATTTTTTTACTGGTGTTCACTGTCAAACTGTTTAAAAATGCCCTCTGAAAAAAGTGGAATAGTCTGAGTGTTTATTCAATAATACTTTCTTTGTGTATCCTGTTATCCAGGCCAGACAATGGAAAGCGTTTAAAAAATCCTGGTTTTCTAAGTCTGAAATGTGAGGAATTACAGGCAATATAAACAAATGTGAACCTCTGACGCATATGAAGACTGTCATAATCACACGGCATGTAAGACGTGGACAAAATACCCATACCACATCTATCACAGGAAGTTATTGTTATTTTCATAGGATAATAATCATAATTATTATTATCACAGGACTGTTGTATCACTGAGAGGTGATGAAAGTTTAAAATACACACTATACAATAAACAAGATCAAATACTTTTTTTTTTTTTTTTTTTTTTTTTTTTTTTTTTTTGTGTGTGTGTGTGTTGCTAAATACTGTGTTATCACTAGCACCTCCAGTTGACTCTCACCCCTTTCAGGACATTACTATAGGTCTTTATTGTGTGATACTACCAGTACTTACCACAGAAACACCGTAACACACCACAGGGCACGTGGCAAATGTGTATCTTTAGCAAATGGCATAAAGCAAGACCGGCCTTTTGCTCCACGTATGAGGGACCTCGATGAGGGCATTTTTAGCTCCTGAATCACCATGGCAAGTGAACTGCTTAGGTAATGTCTACAATGAGAAGTCTACACACCGCAGTGCTTTTCCTTTAGCTAAAGAAGCTTACAAAGGCAAATACACAACTTGAGCCAAAGAGAGTGCAACTCGGATGGTTTCCCCATGATGTTCAGCTGTTCAAATCCGAGCCTAATTCAGCAGCAGCATTATTAGCTTTATGCAGGCTTAAAAAATAATACAGAAAACTCTAAAACTCTGCTTAGGCTATACTAGCAGATAAACCGTTGATTCTTGAAGCCTTAGAAAAACAGTATTCCTGGAGAGATCACAGAAAAGAAAGCATTTGTTCTGTCAGTTCCTGCAAGCCTACTCGATTGAACTGAAGTCCCAAATTATACCCATGCAAAAAAAACATTTTCCAGACCTCTTCGGCACGTTTATAACCCATTGATGAAAAAGGAGTGCCAGAGATGTTATAAAGTCTTCCTATAGAGTATTCAGACTATCCACGTAAAAATTCTGAAGACAGTCTCATCCACAAGTTAGTGACCCCTGCCACAGAGCTTATAGTACGTAAACTAGTGAAAAGAAGTGATGTATTCCAGGGAGCTCGGCGTGGGCTGCAGAGCAGCTGGGGGAGCAGGATGGTGTAAATGCCTAGTTAGACCATGCTGTGCTCTATGCTTTAACACTGACCCATCTGGCATCAAGAAAGCCCAACTAGCTGGAAGTACAGTGCGTATGCCCCAATAACAGCTCATTTTACACTTGCATAATTAATACACTTCCATTTGGTAACTGCACCGACACCGGACATGCTATGAAAGTGAGCATAAATGATATCTGTGTCCCCTTGAGGAACAATTTTTATCAGTGGCTATTTCCTGCTAGGAAACAGGATGAAATCTCATCGCATATTGCCTCCACCCAAGGCATGAGGAAAAAAATCTGTAACATGTGGACACAGAAAATACACAGTGGAAGAGGAGGGTCTGGAGTGCTATAAGGGAGTTTCAGTGTGAACAGAAATTGGGCTCTTTAAGGTCATGTCTGCACGGATTATTTCAGACAGTCAGGAATTAGTATTGCCATTGACTGGGCTGGCAGGACATGAGGCAACTTTTGATCGGACGCCAATGTAAAGACGCACAAAAATCTGAAAACACTAATGCTATCTCAGGCTCTGGAATGACTGCTGCTTTTTCTTTGTTCTGCCTTATTATGATGGAGTGAAGGAATTCAATGTTTCACAGCATTCGGGTGTCATTTGTCAATGAGATTCTTAGAGCAAGGCAAAAATTCAAATATTCCTACATCTTAACTACAGACAGCAAAGTGTGTGGCAAACGTTTTCTTCTTTGTAAACGACTTGTACACCCATAGTCTCGGAGCTAATCTAGAAGTCTATAATGGAAGCAGATAGGGAGCCAACAGAAACGTACAGAAATATAACACGCATGTGTAGGGCTGTATGACATCACCAATATTCAGTTTTAACTTAGTAAACTATTAGTACAAATCCCACTGTTCTGATCTTCTTTGTTCTAGACCATCAAGTAGAAGCGTTAAAATAGGATGGGCCTGACTGACACCAACGAAAGATACCGTTATGTACACTGGATCTACTGGTACCCTGCCTTTTAGGTTAACTTTTAACACACACAACTGATTGTTTAGAAAATCTTGACAAAACAAAATTTATGGTTTATTTCTAATATAAAATACATAATCGTATATATAATGTGTATTATATGGTTGGGTTATGTTCTAGACTGCAGACTCACTAGCTGGAACATTTTGGTTCTTGCATTTTGATTCTAAGGATTACTTCTAGGTCTTCTTGTTTCTCTCATTACGTATCAGTCTTGCAAAAATTGTTACACTAGCAGACATGCCTCAGAGGCAGGCAAAGTTCTAGCCTGTAGGCTTTGAACATCTTATTTTCTCTTATTCTTCAGTCTGTATGTAGGAAAAAAAAAGAATAAATTGTGATGTCGCCTTCTAGAAGCTAGACAGGGGTTTGCAAACATCTCCCTACTTTCCCTCCTCCCAGATTTCCACAAACTGTATTCTTCTGTGGTTAGGCAGAAAAAATGAAAAATAAAACTAAGCTTTACAGGTTCAGATGTATGTGGAGAAGATGGACGTTATTCTATGCTCCAAAGCTCTGGGTAGGTCTTTTTCTGCTGGATAACTGAATTTTTTCTCTAATCCAAGTTCTCAATCTGATGTTGTATGTCTGTGGTCTAACTATGCAGTTTTGCTTGCAGGGTAGAAAGATTAAAGGACTAAAACTGTCAAAGGCAAGAAAAAAAAATACCTACAGCTCTCTATGACAATCAAAATATTCAAGAGCTGAGATTAAACAACACATCATGTTCTAATGGGAAAGATACAACATAGTCGCCAGTGAAATCTTACTGACTCCAATCATAAGCTTCTGCAAGAACTTTTACATATTGTTGCAAGTCAGAACACAAAACTCTTTAGTAGGAAAATGCTGATATACCGTTAAGGCTCTGGCTTTGATGTGGAACACTTTGAGGTCTTTAGTCAAAAGGAAAACCATTCCATGTACAGGCCTAGAAGCAAAAAAAAGAATGTTGAAGTTCATGTAGGAATCTGCTCACACCACATTTCCACAATTAAACACAGAGTGTTAGACAGCAGTAGACAATCAATTTCATTTTACACTGGCTCCACTTTCCAAAAAAAAAAAAAACCACGGGGACATCTGTGTCATCTTTGGTGCAGTTGACAAAGACAAGAATTTCACTGGCTTAGGAACGATAAATAAGTAGGCGATTCGTTAACACTAAAGTATTTTTTCATCCGCCAGAAGAAATGAAAACTGATCAGTCAATCAAGAAACATCAGAAAGATGACTGGTTCTTCACCCATTTGTAGGGTGAAGGCATCATCTAGTAAAATCAGCATTATTTGCATCTTCAGTGAACATTTGCATATAGAAGACAAACCCTTTGGTTTTGATTACAAAAATGAAGCACAGGAAAAGGTTTAAATAAAGACCTAAATTCTGCAATACATATTTCATATTGCCAAATACATAGCCAGCCATTTGGTGCTTCCTTATTACTATAAAAAAGTAATTTATGAAATGGGACTGCTGAAGTAAAAAAACAGTCAAACAAAAAACCCACCACTGAATAACAAGAACCACACTAAAAAACGCCCGTAAGTCCCCCACTGAATCACAAGCTCACCGTGAGAGGTATCATTCACAGTTTATTTACATTCCTAAGCATGAACATTTATTTTCCCTTATTTCATTCAGAACTCTTGTATAACTAAGGCCCCAAATCTACAATCAATAGAGTGTAGGCACAGAAATTCCGTTCCACGCTGCTGTTTGCAAGACTAGAGAAACCTACGACTTGATCCAAAGTCCAATAATGTCAGTGGGGAGTTTTCTGCTTCCTTCAATGGGTTTAGAAAGGGCATCTGAGGTCAGGAAGCTGCACTCCTTATTCTGTCAGAAATTCCACTGAGGCAGTGCAGTATCAGTCTCCACATAATTACATACATCTTCTTCCTGAAACTGAGGTCAGTCACATTAATCGTGCTTTCATGAGAAAATGACTTTTGGAATCAAACTAGCTTTGAGAAACAGAAATAAAATACACACTATACATCGGTTATGGCAATGTTTTGCACTACTCTAAAGAGACGCATTGTTTAGTTTTTAAACTTTCCTATTACTAGAGCTGGAGTTGTTTATAAATGCCCAAAGAAATGCCTGTCAACACTCTTTATGTTTCAGTACTGATTCTTCAGTTATACATCAAAAGTAGTGAGAATTAATCAGCTCCTCAGGCTCACATGAGGCAATGCACTTGGGCAGGTACTTTGGAAACAGAGATGGATTTGTATCTATATTCAACTAAATGTTTTTCTCCATTTCTAAAAAATTTCAAAAATCCAGATAAATTCCATCAACACAAGATGCCAAATTTAAAACAGACATAACAGGAAATTTTTTCTCATCACTGTTGCAGTTATCTAACACTTCAATCATGGGCTACTAGAAAATAGAATGAAAGAAAAATCATAAATAAAACCAATTTTTTCCAGGGATTTTTTTTCCCTCCCATATTTGCAATCTGACAATAGTAGTGAAATAAATAAATAAATAAATAAAAGAACATCACCCACAAATACTTCTATCAGATATAGTTTCAGATCAATCTCGAATCAGTGATACAATCCCAAAAGATTTGAAATTTATTTCTCATTTGCTGGATTGAGATCTGCAGCTTCACAAATCACACTATCAGTGGTACTGAGAATGTCAGTCCCCGTTTTCCTCTGTAGTGGTTGGCTCTTCCTTTAATAAAACGCTCAACTGTTTCTGTGCACACGAGAGGAAAAGTTCCAAACTATGCAGATTCCTCTGACGGACGACTTGATCAAGCTGTTGAAATGAAAAAAAAAAAAAAAAGAAAGAAAAAAAAAAGAAAAAAAGAGAAGATAGATCAACTTTTAAGAAAACCTGGAAATAAATGCCGGCATTTGTCAGCAAAAATTCAACCATATTTAACAACAAAATTCCAACAACCAAATTCAACAACAAAAGAACCTCAGTAACTTCTATGCGTGCAGTAACAACTTTTAAAGGAAGTATTTGAGTTTCTTCAAATTGAGACATGCATAAGGCTAAAAGTACCTTTCCAACAGCTGTCCAAATCCTACGCAAGAAATCTGAAAAAGCTAAACAGCCTAGCTGCCACACTAGATAAATCCCCGCAGCATCTTTTAAAATTGCAGCTGTTGCTTTTATAAATGATACTGCATCTGCTTTAAAATGAACACTACATAAACTGCATATTGAAAAATTCAGTCTACTGTTAATTTAAATTTAAATGGCAGCAGGTTTAAATAGTTCCCCGAGGAAAAGTGGTCATATTTTCTGCCTTTTAAATATTTTTTTTTATTCCAATATTTTATTGGAGTCCCCTACTGCCAAACAATGTGAACTATAGAGTTGCAGTGAAGACAATGGCCCTTTCTTCCCCACCAAAAAAGATAAGAACACAGTAACAAAACTAGGTAGGTTATGCCATTTAAATGACATAGTTATTTGAATTTTCTTAATATCATCACATTAATAAATAAAATGCACTGCAGAATTCCTTCCATTTGAATTTTAAAGTTCAAATACCAAGCAATTAATACCACAATTGAGAGATGCTTTCAACTTGACTGTCCTTTAACCAGCCACAAGTTCAACTAAATACACACATAACGATGACGTAGAGTGACACTGTAAGTCAGTGGTACAAGGCTGATGGGACATAAAAGTTCTGCCACTCAAGAGAAAGGAATTAATGGAACTTGGAAGAAGACCAGCTCTGCAATTCTGTTCAAGTGTTGCGCACAAATCCATAAGCAATGTCTCAAACTCTGCAACACCAGCAAAATGCTAACGCGAGGCCACGTGGCCCCAGCGGATAGAGCAGCTGGTCGAGCAGACTGGTGGCAATCATCTGCAAATGGCCTTATTTTAAAAAAAAAAATAATAAATCGTGCCTTATGTATCTAGCTCTCACAGCTTTAATTACAGCTTTCAACAAAACCGCTGATCCTGTGGTATTTCTCTGCACATATATGCTCATCCTTCAGCAGTCCAGTCAGTTGCACTAACAATCACCTGAATGGACATTTTGTTTTGTAAGATATTTAAAATATATATATATATAAATTAATAAAGAACGCAAGGCAAAATTACCGATACCTTCTCACTTCACTCTGAAAATGCACTCAGGGTATAGCTGCAGCACTGTGACTGAAGACACAAAGGCAAATATTTTTATGACCCTGTGCTTTGCTGCTCTTTAAGTTCCTCTAACACGCAAAACCAAGCTCCGGTAGCCTGAACATTTTGGCATTTTGTTTCAACAGAAATTAATGCGTCCGTCTAGTCACAAGCAGAAGACACACACAGGTATTTTCTAGAAGGCACACAACCATAAAACTCTCCTTCAGTAATACGCCTGCTGGTGCTACTTCTGCAAGTTTCCAGCTGTTGTGCAAATTTTTGCATCTCTTAGCAAAAGCAGACGTTAGCGTTCCATACGCAGCCTGATGTGAACCTAGCCCGCTGATTTACAACAGATTTTAAAGCAGATCTAGTTCAAATAAATTTCAGAAAAGTCTGCTCTTGATATATTTAAGTAACAGCTGCTACTGACAGGAAAATGAAAGGCTTAGGAAAAGCAAACTAAGTTCTAAAGGAGCTGTATCTAGAAAAGACAATCTGGGAACAAACGAGCAACGTAAAAAAGCTGTTGTGACGGTGCATTTCTTCTGACTTGAAAGGTGTCTTGTCTCCTTCGTCTTCTCTGGTCTGGAATATAAAGAACAATTTGCACGGGGAAGCTTGCAGATGGTTTTGTGCTTGTGCCCCATATTTCTCTGGAGAATTGGGCAGATAGAGTGCAATTCACACAGTATCATCTGTTATGTCTTAAGAAAGAACATGTGAAAGCTCTTTCTCTAAACATCTTATCGAATTCTGTTGCTTCTGGTAGATGAATCAGTTGGAGGAGCTTTGCATGAAGCTAATTGTCAGTGGTTTTCTTTTACTGCGTATTATATCATCTATACTCCTAGATAGTTCTTTGTCGAACTTTGACCAAGAGCTTTGGCTAAATGCTCCATTTTCTTGCAGCATTTCCTTGCAGATTCTGCTTGAAAGGGTTCAAAGTAGCTTGCCAGATGCGTGCTGGGATATGCTGCTGTTAACTTTCTTTACCAAGGCAGCAATCTCAAATTGTATATGGTTAAATTTATTTCACCAAGTACTAATGTAAATGTTTGAAGTCTGCAGTGATTGGCTGCAATACGAACAAAACAGAATTTCTTCAGGCTTGAGCAAGATTTTAAAAGTCTCAAATGAATTAAGTACACATTGGAGGAGTCTTTGTTGAACTCAAGCGGTTAGTTGGTAGTCTCCCTTTGTGCATAAGAAAAGTTTATTGCTTGTTAAAAGTTTATGTAAATTCAATAACATAAAAGTTCAGAATTAAGTTGCCCCTCGTCTGCTCAGTTTAAGAATAAGCTTTGCCTTGAGCAACGTGTTTTAAAACCCTTCCACGCTACAGTAAATGACAAAACACTCTGAAAAGATTTGGGATCTTCTCATAGCACAAAATGAGAAGCAGCAAAATGATGCTGGCTTTGAAAATGGTACATTTGCATGTATTCAGGAGAACACTGCTATTAATGGAGAAATTTACTGGGAAATAAATCCAATTAAGTTTTGTTATATAATATATTGTTTAATGAAGTGTTACCAACGGACGCTTTTTTTTTTTTTTTTTTTTTTTTTTTTTTTTTTTATCAGTGCCCCAACACCGCTTGCATAATATACCACGAGATGTAAAAATATTTAAGTAAGGCATTTTAGACCTTGTTTTTCTAAACAGTCTTCCCTCTACATTTTTAGGTCCTGTTCACTTCACGGAATGATCTCATTACTTAAACAAACATAAATGGACATCTGGCAAATTCAAACTCCATGTGACTCATATGCAAATGAATAACGTCTTAGGGATGGCGCATTCAAACAACCAAACCAACCCAACTGTTGTAATTCTATAGATACTGAAATACACCGTCTTGGTCCAGATCTACCACGAGGGCAATTTTCTACATCATATCGTCACCGTTGTTATTATTGATCAACGTTTCTCTTCCACCATATGAAATCTCTTCAGTTCAAAGTTCCCAGTTCTGTGCTTTGTGTCCTATTGGCACAGCTTTAATTACATCCAAGTTTTAATGTCCTTGAAGTTTATTATTTTAAGTTGCTCAACAGTATCTTTTTAACTCCATACAGATTTTTTTTTTTTTTTTTTTTTTTTAAGATTTTTTTTAAGAACCAGAAGCTGCCTCTCTATGTACTTTCATGGAACCTCCTGAGGAACTGGCTATATAAGACTTGGAAAAGCCATTCCTGAAGTCAGGATCACAGAATCATCTTGGTTGGAAAAGACCTTGAAGATCATCCAGTCCAACCGTTCACCTAGCACTGACCGTTCCCAACTCCCGCAGATCCCTCAGCGCTGGGTCAGCCCGACTCTTCAACCCCTCCAGGGATCCTGGGGACTCCCCCCTGCCCTGGGCAGCCCATTCCAACGCCCAACAGCCCCTTCTGCACAGAAATCCTTCCTCAGAGCCAGCCGGACCCTGCCCTGGGCAGCTTGAGGCCATTCCCTCTGGGCCTGTTGCTTACTACTAGGCTAAAGAGGCTCAAACCCAGCTCTCTGCACCCTCCTTTCAGGAGTTGTAGAGGGTGTTAAGGTCCCCCCTCAGCCTCCTCTTCTCCGGTCTAAACCCCCCTCGGTTCCCTCAGCCGCTCCTCATACGACATGTAAACTCCATAGGGTCTATACCACTCCCTCACTTCCCATAATCATTGAGATACATTCATTTTCCAAAAATGAGCTGATCCTTGCAGGACTTTCTAACACACTCACAGCTGTTTTTTTCCCCCTGTGTTTAAACCTTCAGTCCACTTTTGAGGTCTAAGTGTGATTTCACCATCCTTCCAGCCAAAGACGACTGGATGAGACTCCCTGGGGGCTCCCACCTCAGTCATATCTCCAGAGCACCCAGAATGATGTGCCTTTGAGCCACAAAAGTCATGCCCTGAAGGCAGGCATAGGCCTCAGCAGAAATCCCATCACTGGACGCAAGAATTTGACTTGGGAAATAAAAAGAAAGGCTCACAGGTAACTGTGCAGAATGCTGCCACCAGGTGACTGCTTTCACCCCAGGCTGCTCTGCTCTGCTTTTAAGTCAGTCCATCTTCTTCTGTATCACTTCATAAACCCATAGCTCAAACCAAAATAATTACTCTTAGCTCTACATTTTATTAGCTTTTATCACGCAGCTCAAATTTTCTGTAAAATGGAGTGAAAGCCTACATGGCCGATGCCTGAAGTGGGAAGCAGTTCCTTACACAAATAGCTGAGCATGCACATCCTCTGTGTTTTCCCCTTGTAATATCTACCTGCAAATAGATATGTTTCCATGGCATATGCACTTAGTTTCCTCTACTGAATTTTCTCCAACCTGTTAAACATTTCAAATTGCTAGAAGAGAAATCCAGTCAGAACTCTATAAATAGTACTGTATGTCAGAATTCTATTATCCATTACTAGTAACTAATAAAATATCTTATGGAAAACATAATTTTTGGTTTAAGGATGAAATTCTGCTCTCACCACAGTAAAGATATGTTTCGTTATTCATCTCACTGTGGCTTGAAGTTCACCCAGAAAAGTGAAGAAAGCTAAATGAATGTTACATATGGCTCTTCAAATTTCCCTTTTATAGAAACACCAAGGTGTGTTTTTCAAAGCTATTTCTCAGACAATGCTGTTTTCCAATGCCAAATATATTTGTAAT